GAGCAATCTGATGTGTTGAAGTCTCCAGTAATAACGGATAGAGAGTTGTCGAAGTTGGCAGCAGCAAACATGGTGAATTCATCAGCAAAATTAGATAGATCAGATGGAGAGCAGCTAGGAGAAATGTACATGTTTGTAATATAGAATTGTTGATATTTGGGGAGGTGTTTGGGGCGACATTTGACAGTTATACAGTCAATGAAGTCATTTGAGAAGGTGAAGCAGATGTTATTTGAGACAGACCATTTGGAGTGAATAAAAGTTGCAACGCCACCACCATTTTTCTTATTACAACATTGACGGTCTTGTCGAAATAAAATAAAGTCCTTTAGTGAGATAAGGTTGTCATCATACAGTTCATGCAACCACGTTTCTTGTAATGCGATTATGGCAGTGTTATGATACGTATCAGTTGACATCAGGGATTGTAGATACATTATCTTATTTGGTAGAGAGCGACAGTTTGAGTTCATTATGACGGGGACCGTAGTTAAGTGTATTGGTGTACGTTTGAGAGCTCTCTGCCAACCACTACGATGTTTCCTTCTTGGCCAGTTTCCTTGCCTTGGTCATCGTTACATAAATGTATAAATCGGACTACTTCATCCCCTACCCGTAAACATTTAAAAATTATAAAAATTATAATTGCCCAAATTATTTTATTTTTCATTTATTTTGACCACTTCATCTTTAATTACGTGTTATCCTGGTGAAATTAATTTATTCTAACCATTTCTACCTTTTAATTGCATGTGTATTACTTTTCTTCGTTAATTACCACCCCATTGACATTTTGACACTGACTGACTAATTATTACTAACAAACATATCAGTGCCATTTGATTATTGGTAAATTGTTGTGTATTGTAGTAAAAATGCTCTCTGTGTATATTAGAGTAGAGCCAGAGTAAGATGATGATCTAATTGAAAAGTAAATATTTCTTCGCTCAGCTCAGTCTTTCTGTTTTCTAAATGATATGAAGCAGTACACTGTAGAGGATGCTTAGTCTTCCATGACTTTACTTATTCTAGCTGGTATTTTATCAAGGTGTTGTTCTTTCGACTTCTGTGTTTTTGCTTTTCGTTTAACATGACTTACTGATTCTCATCTGAATCAGACTGCCCCAAAGCAAGTAGCTTACAATGTGTGTGTGTGTGTCTAGTCCCCTGTCTTTGACGCAGACTGAATTCTGTCAGTCAGGTTTGCAATGTGGCCACCATGGCACTAGGTGGTTCGCCATCGTTGTTCACTGTGAACTGTTGATATTATACGGTTGGAGGCAATCGGCCATAGGAAGCCTTGCCAGGACCTAGGTTTCGTGCTAGTCGACACTCACAATTCAGCAAGGCGTATCTGCAACCTTGAAGGAACTCATAGCCCTTCTGAGATTCGAAACCGCGTCTCCCAGAGCTGCAATCAGAGACTTTACCACTGAGCTATTCGGGCCCGCGATTGACTTTCGAGGTTGCAGATACGCCTTGCTGAAGAGTGCTGACTAGCGCGAAACCTAGGTCGAAGGCTTCCTGCCGGTTGCCTCCAACCATATAATACCAATAAATAGATTTCCTATTGGAAATTAGCCAGTATTATTATTCTCTTGAGTTCCGAGTGGAACATAGAGCTTCAACAACACATCGCCACTTTGTGCTATTTTCTGCCGTCCTCTTCACCTGGGTCTACGATTGACCAGGCTATCTCATCTCTTCCTCACACGATCTCCTCCCTGTCACTGTCACACAGGCGACCCACTCGTTGCTTCCCATTCGGAATCCATTCGAGCGACGGCCTGTATCACTCGCGATTTCATTCAGCTGCCTCCACAGTTTATGCCCGATCCACCCATCTATACTTTCTCCTACATATCTGTAAGGCGACCGGCTCTCATCTGTTGGTTTGTTGCCGGCCAGAGTTCCTTGTCGATAATTCTTCTCGACCGGCTGGCCATTCGATCTTCGGTAAGAGACGAAGGCAGCCGTCGACGAAAGTTTGCAACAGGCTGTTGTAAATCCTTTTCTTGACACGCACTGCAAGTTTCTGACCCGTATAGAAGAACTGATATCACATTTGTGTTGGAAATGCTTTGCATCACGAAACTATGGGATGATGGCTAAATTATAGTGCCTTCTTTCCAGAACATGATATTTTCCGATTAGTTGGGGGTAATAAGTGTGAACAGTTGAAGAGCCACAAACTGAGATGAAATATCCATTCAGTACTGTCTGATTCTAATAATTCTTAAACTCTATCCTAGATTACTCTACAGTCAATCTGAACGAAGAATATGCTTTTCAATAATTTCTCATCTTCAGGTTTTTACAGTTATAAAATATCATATTTATTGTCGTTACAATAATCGCCAGGTATGCGGCAGACAGGCTTTCGACAGACAGCGTTGACCGCGAAGCAATTTGAAAACAACTTGAGTACTACGGCGTACCCCAAATATTCATAAACCTTGATCAACAGCTGTACGACATCGGCACATGTCAAGTCATCCACAGTGGAAAACTCAGTGAGGCGTTTGGAGTAAACACAGGAGTCAGACAAGGGTGCTGGCTTATTATCACCAATGATATTCCTAACTGTGGTGGACTGGATTATGCATCAGACAGTGAGTGGGAAACGAGAAGACAGGTAGGGATATCCTGGACCGACCGACGTGAAGAACCTAGAAGACCTGGATTTCGCACGTGGATGATTTATGCTTTGAGTCACACAAAATCGAAGACTTACAAGCGAAAACAGACAAACTGGTCGAAGAATCAGCCGGCGAAGACAGGACTCCAAGTGAACATAGACAAGACGGAGGTTGTGAAATAACCAACCAACAACAACAACAACAGCAGCAACATCCAGCGTTAATCACCATCGACGGGAGGGATTTGAAAGAGACTAGTTACTTCATTCACTTATCTAGGGAGCATTGTCTCAACTACAGACAGTCAGAATGGACGAGGATGTCAAATCGAGCGAGAATCGGGAAGGCGAGTGAGAAACCCATTCATCAACCTGAAACAACCAATCTGGAAATCTTCGTCACTCAGCCAGCATCAACAACAAAATTCGGTCGGATTTTCAATACAAACAACGTCAAGTCGGTCAGTTCTTCTATACGGATCAGAAAATTGGCGGGCGGGCCACAAAGAATATTTCCAACAAGTTACAGACCTTTATCAACAGCTGTCTCCACTCTATACTGAAGATCAGATGGCCGTGCCGGAAACAATCACCAACAAGCAACCATGGGAACAAACAAGACAAGAACCAATCGCCAACCAACAAATATGCAGGAGAAAGTGGAGGTGGATTGGTCATTACTCGCTGAGGAGACCGCTGGGTGACATCGCGCGCGCGTCAGGCCATTTCTCGTGTGGAACCAGGCCGAAAGGGAAGCGACGAGTGGAACGGCCAAGGGTGACATCGAGGAGGTAATGTGAAGAGGAGTTGAAACAGTATGGACTAACATGGATGCAGGTGAAAAGTAGGAGCAGAAGACAGAAGCAACTGGAGACGTGCATTTGAAGCCCTATGTTCCACTAGGAACCCAAGGGAACAATTATTATTATAACGACAATAAATATTACAAATTTTTTATAATTGTAAGAACCTGATGAGGAGGAATTATTGAAAGTAATATTCTTCGTTCAGATTGACATTTAATTCATGATATGGGATTACTTCACATTAAATTAGTACGAGTTAGAAACAATGAATGATTGGGTATCCAGGTAACAGACGATTTATCACTTCACTACTAACAAATATCACCATAGATACAGGTAAACAGGAAACAGGAGTTATAAAGGTCTACAATAAGCGGAAATACACAGAAGGGAAAAATAAGTACATGCAGAAAATTGAGGATTTAATAGATTTAGGCGATCAGAATGAATAAATGAATGCATCTCTACCATTCAGCTAAGCAGTTGATACCTCTCTATGTGTTCGTGGACAACCAGCAGTCAAGGAGCTCCTGAGGTGATACCAACTCAATGAGGAAGGCTATGACTCGCCACATACAAAATCAAACTAAATAAACTCTTATTCAAGGTTTCGTATTCCTCATCACAGGCTTGTCAGTGTCGTTCTGATAGATGGTAAGTCAAACAAGATGACCTCATATTTTGATCACAAATTTATATAATTTCGAAAGCAGTTGGAAGCCAGGAAGTAATAGGCAAGTGTTCTCATCCTACATTGGGACTCTACAGCAGTATGCACCCATGGTCCTGCCGCTGCGAATGAAATCCATGACCTTCGGATTACTAGACGAGCCACTCGGAAGGAAGTCTATGGCACATAAATTCTAACTATAATTTATACTTTATAGTGCCATCACCAGCTGATCTCACTGACGAGTGTTTTCCCACAGAACCGACCTGCTAAGAAGTCGCGACTAGTGGCGGCAGCCACACTGGTTGTAAGAATAGATAACCAAAGGTGACACGGCGAGTTGTCAGAAGTTAGAACTCCAAGTGTTATTAGCTCCCATCTTAGTGTCTGAATGCTCAAAGGGTACTCCTCAATCCCTGATTGGATCATCGGCATATATTACTGAAGAGTTCCAGCCCAAGACGAAACAGCTATCTAGTACTATTCGACTTTTAATGGTTGTCTAACTGATATGAGTCAGTCAATCAATCGATGATCAAACGTTAAACCAATGAAATCTTTAAAAAACAAGGGTGAAATCAAAAAGCTCTTCCAACTGCATTTTTTCGAAATTTTTCATTTAATACACTAGTAAACATTTTTACATGAACAATTAACTGTACAGCAAAGTTACAATTAAACATGTGTTTTATATTTTGTATATCATTGTACGTGTGTGTATGTATGCGTGTATGTAGTCAGATATATATAAGCGTCTGTATATTGGTACGTATGCATCTTTTTGTACATGTATGGATGTGATTGTACGAATATATATGTCAGTAGGTGTGGGCGTATGTTTACATGCGTATTTTAGCATGTATGTGCATACGTATGTGTTCCGATATATATACAAGGGTGGGCGTGTGCATTTAAGCACTTAATGTGTATGTATGTATATCCATGTGTCTATCTGTACGCGCGATATGTGTGTGTACGAGTATGTATGTACGCCTACATGTGTCTGTCTGTCTATCTATCTATCTATTTCAAGTTTGTGCGTAGGCGGTTATACATGTCCGCGTGTGTGTGTGTGTGTGCCTGTAAGTGTATTTATATATGTAGGGAATTCCTTTGAATAATTATATCAGAAAGTTGACCAATCAAAAAACAAAATCTTGGTATGAGTATAAAGCTGTTTCCTTTTTGCTCTTCAACTTGAAGGTGATTTATCGAATGAGAATTTTTTAAAATTTTTTGAATCAATCACTACATCGTCAGTAGAATAATTTTCTGTACTATGTTCACGAATAACTGGAACGTGTATTTCAAATTTTTTATTTGGCATTTGTAGATGTGATCGACTGGCGCCTCCGCCTGCAGTTCCACTAGCGCTCCCACCACTACTACTTAAATGATTCTTCAACACACGATTACGCGTCTTCATAATATCGAAAAATGCTTCATCAAAGTGTGCTTGACGTTTTTGTCCATGAATAAATTTAGTTTTACGTGGATAATTTAATGATTTACTGACATTATGCGTCTTTTGTTGTTTACTACCGGTGACACTATCAGATATTTTATTTTTAAATGGATGCGCTCCACCTGCTGTTGGTCCACTTAAATTTACCGGTGTAGTCACCGTATGAAGCGTTGAAAGATTCTGCATTGAACCAAGTGGATTAAATGCTCCAGGTATTGACATTGTTGAAGCATTCAATGAAATAAATTTATACTTTAATGAATCGGGAATATTTTTCAATATACTCTCTGTTTTACTTGGACACATCGATGCATAATGCATTTTCAGGGTCACCTTCTCATAGACTTTTAACATTTTTTGATCATGTGTTTCAGGTTCTCGCTGTAGAAATCGTCTCAAGTATCTTTCATCCAATCGAATGAATATATCACGCATAGCATTATATCCACGATAACCGATAATACTTTCAATCCCGGCTAGGGTACAATGCAGGATACCATCATTCAATGAATCGAATTGACTCAATTTTTTATCAATTTCCATACGAATTTTTAACAGTCTCACCAAGGGTTTAATTGTCATACCCATAAGACCAGTAGTAAACAAGATAATAAATATCGTCGTTGTCACAATCAATTGACGATTATACTCTCCTTGTTGACCAAGTTTATTCGGAGAGATGAGTACAGCCAGGGAGAAGGCAACAGCTCCCCTCAATCCTCCATAAATCAATACAATCTGTTGTGTCACACTAATTTTTGTCCCACTAATTTCAAAAAAGTTGACAAAAAATGTCAACGTGAATATGACAATAGCACGGGCTGCTAGACACCATATTAAAGCCCATAGGATGTAACCAGTATGCCAGATAAGTTTCGTAGAGACTACTTCAATTCCAAAGAATAAAAAGATCACTGACTCACAAATATCAGAGACAATCCTGGTTAAATTGCGGACAACTGTGACAGCACTTCTATCTAAATTATGAAATGCATATGCGGCTTGAATAAGTCCACACCCGATCATTGATATAATCCCTGACCAGCCAATACAATCAGCCATTATGTAAGAGAAATATGCAAGCAATAATAGGGTGAAAGCATTCAGACGACTTTTTATCCGTGTGATTAAACACGTCACTATACCGAAGACAACACCAATCAACAGGCCACCAAAACTCACAGTGAAAAAAGACACCACACCAACGATAATCTCTCCACCGGTGACTGCCTTCTTCCCTGTAAATGTATCCATAATATCATAGAGGACAACAGTGACAGCATCATTTAACAAGGATTCCCCGAATACAATATAGTATAGGCCTAATTCAACACCAATATCTTGAAAGATAGCCAACACAGCCACAGGATCGACGGCAACAATCAAAGAACTGAACAATAGGAAGCCTTTTAAATCAAAGTCTAGCTGAGGCGGGCCGAATCCATCTGTTATCCATAAGGCATACATCATAAAGCCAATAATTAAAAAGTTTAATACGGTTCCAAAGACAGCGAATAACAGGACAACTCCAAGGTATTCCCAAAACGTTGGATTATACATTGTATACGCAGACTGTAGGATGATGGGTGGCAGCAAATATATAAAAAATAGCAGTGGTGTAAACTTCCAAACATTATTTTTCGCGTGGATACCTTTTTCGAAGACATTATGAATGATCATACCAAATAATATCCCAATAATAATGAGTACCAGAGATTCTGGAATATACTCGGAGATATAATGGACACGGTGATGCAAGAATTTGATTAGAATCATTATAAGCAAGAATAGCATAACAGTAATGTGTAATCCGAATTCCTCAAATTTCCATTTAACAATTCCAACAATAGTACCATTTAATATTCTATTGTCCACCTGAGAGGAGTTCACATGGAATTGGTTAAAAAATCCTGATGTTGTGATAATAATAATCACTGTTGAAAGGATTAGATAATAATTTTGCATTTAGTTGACAAATTATACGCATATCTTTTTATTTATTTTATAATAAAATATAGAAAATATACTCATATACATACATATACATGGATATGCCTGTGTTGTAACTTGTTAAATGTTCGATTAAATTTATTTGTATACTGAATATTGAACACAAATGAAACAGTAAGGCGGGAAATTTTTTTATTCTACACTGTTGTGACAATTTATTTATTTATGTATGAATGAGAACATGGTAGAGGTTAATTCAGTGTATGAAATGGTAGGAATGCTAATGATAATGAGATATTTGTTTAAAGTATTTATTTATTGATTAAAATCACGTGAATTATCGATTTGAACTGAGGATACTTATTTAGGCTACTGATTATATATATATATAATCAGTAGCCTTATATGCCTTCGAAGTGAGCAAGGGAGTGAGGCAAGGCTGTCTACTTTCGCCAATGACCTTCCTGATAGCAGTAGATTAGATAATGCAACACACTAGGCGAAATGAAGAAACAGGCATGAAATGGACTCACACAAAACACTTTGGGGATCTGGACGTCGCCGATGATATATGTCTCATTTCACACAAATTGGAAGATATGCAAGTGAAAAGCAACAAGTTGGCAGAAGAAGCCTCCAGAGAAGACAGAGCTTCAGGTGAACATAGAGGAAACAGAGACAGGTGATGAAGATTCCTGGCCAACACCAACAGCAACAACAACAACAGACAACAATCAGCCAGCATAAATAGGAGGAACCTGAAAGAAACAACCTCCTTTACCTACCTACCGACCTGGAAAGCGTCGTTTCAACTACAGGCGGACGTGTGGTGAGAGCAGGCTGCTAGCCGATTGTTTGACACTAATCTACGTTAATGTCTAGGTCACTGATATGGGCCGTGAGAAAATATGAACAAGGCTGATTCAACAACCAATCACAGCAAAGTTAACGTGGCAAAATATGATTCGCAGATAGAGAACCCTATTTGTCAAGGAATCCCGAAACAACCAATCAGAAGCCTGCGTTTGTCTGCAACCAATCAGATGACTGCGCTTTTTCTACTTGCATAAGCTATAATAATGTATGTGAAATATATATATATACGTGTTGATTTTCATAATAAAACGATCTGTTGCCTGGCCCTTGTCGTCTGTTGTTACAGACGGAACTGACGACGATATCAAAGCAAGAATCGGAAAAGCAAGACAAGCTTTCGTTACTCTCAAGTCTGTATGGAGGTCAACAGCACTGCTCAGCGTGAAAAATGAGATCCGGATTTTCAACTCCAACGTGAAGTCAGTCAGTGCTACTATACGGATCAGAGACTTGCACTGCGCGTCATATAAAGAGCATCTCAAACAAACTTCAGACCTTCATTAACAGTTGTATTCGCTCAATACTCAAGATCAGATGGCCAGCCGGAAAAGATCAGCAGCAGGGATCTCTGGCAGGGAGCAAACCAATACAGCAGGAACCGATTGTGCAACAAATAGGCAGGAAGAAATGGAGGTGGATTGGCTGGCCATACTCTTAGGAAACCAATAAGTGACATCACTAGACAAGCCGTTGCTCGAGTGTGACCCGAAAAGGAAGCGGCGAGTTTGTCGTCAATGTGAGGGTGACTTGGAGGAGGTCATGTGAAGATGAGATGAAAGCATGTGAATAAAGGTTCTGTACAACCTGAACGTGAAATAGAATTAAGAGTAGATGCGGTGGTAGAAGGTGTGGATACTCATGAGACCGTCAGTGTGAATGACCAGCGTGTAAATCGCCTGTCAACGTATGTTAATGCTTAACTGGAGCTAATAGTATAAGACAGCAGTGGTAGTAATCTTGCAGTTAGACAACCTTCTAAACGCCGAACAACATCAGCTTCTGATTCACTACTAAGTTGGTCAACTTGTTTCACTCAGTCTTCGTTGGTATTGTCATCCACAGTGAAAGGGACGTCCATGAACTCACGTGTCTTATGTTATGACTATGATAGCTAGTATCGGTCCGTTTGAAAGGACGAAATTCAATGGTCAGTTTATTGACGATAAGCCAACTGTGTGTGAGAGGAGTTGATTGTTAAAGTGATTTGCACGAATAAAGGCCTTTCAAGTTTCAAGTTACTGTTTGAATGTTAATATCTTTGGTGTAAATTACTCTATGCCTTCGATTGGTTGATTAGATATGTCGTATGTTTGTTAGTCATTTACATTTCATGATACAATAACATGGGCGTGTTACCGTTCAGAGTTGAGGATATAGATGATAGAAGGAGGTCAGCAAATGAACTCTGTGATGATTTTCCTGAGAAGGGTTGTAGGCGTACTGCTGTAAGTCCTACAATTCTTCAAGGGTAGTAGTACGTCAAAGAGCACTCCATCGTACTTGGTACTTTTTGGACATATGTTCATGTTGCATATACTGAATTGGTATCATATCTCATCTGTCTGTTGGTTAATTTTGTTTGTGTTCAGACGTCTTTTCACTTGGATCGTCAATCTGAGAAGGAATATAGGCGTACTGCTGTAAGTCCTACAATTCTTCAAGGGTAGTAGTACGTCAAAGAGCACTCCATCGTACTTGGTACTTTTTGGACATATGTTCATGTTGCATATACTGAATTGGTATCATATCTCATCTGTCTGTTGGTTAATTTTGTTTGTGTTCAGACGTCTTTTCACTTGGATCGTCAATCTGAGAAGGAATATAGGCGTACTGCAGTAAGTCCTACTGTTCTTCAAGGGTAGTTCGTCAAGGCAGTATCCACAGCATTTGATGTATTGTGTTATATCTGTAGGGAATTCAATGAAGACGTTTTCACCTTATTCTGTCTGCGCCTGAACTAATCTGTCTATCTGCTTGTCGTACCTTCCGATTTAGTCAAGCACGCAAATATCAAAAGACAAAGGCTGGACTGTGACTGTGTATTGAAGTGCAACAACGATAAAGAAAGCCATGGTATTTATACATTTTACAACAATATGGACAGCTAACAGCATTTGAAATAATTGACCTTAATAGCCAATAACAAAGTGTGTGAGAAATGATAATATGCCATATGTGCGACATTGACAGTCAGTAACAAAATGTGTGGGAATGATAATATACCATATATACAAAATTAGCAGTCACTACCAAAATGCGTGAGAATGATAATATACAAAATTAGCAGTCACTACCAAAATGCGTGAGAATGATAATATACAAAATATACAAAATTAGACAGTCAATACCAAAATGTGTGGGATCCTATCACCTCCCCCCGTAAAGAGTGTAGGACTTGCTTTTTGGATCTATTTGAAAAGGTTTCGGAGCTCTTCTTTGTCGAGTTGACCTTTGCGTGGTACTGGATAGAGCGTGATCTGTGTGTCTGCCACATAACTGTCCTTTTTCATTCGTACGATAATGCAGCAAGAATTTATCCAAAATTTTTTTCTGTTGTTCCCTCCCCCTTCGCTTTTGCATAAGCACGCTTAAAGGTGTCGACGAAACGTTCAGTAATAGTTGACGTAGGTGGGACACTGTTGCAATTGATGTGGCAGAATGCATAGGAAATATCTCTGGCCATTTGGAAAACGCGTCGACACATATTAAGAAATGCATACTATTGAACGGTCCAGCGAAGTCAACATGAACACGGGACCATGGTTTGTCCGGTCGTGGCCAGGAACATAGTTCTGTCTTGCGTGGACACTTTGATGCTTGAGCACATTTACTACACTTGCGAACGAGGTCTTCGATATGGTCATCGATGTTGGGCCAGTAAACATAACTGCGAGCGATCGCCTTCATTCTCCCAACACCAGGATGTGATATATGAAGCTGCCGAAGCACATGGTCACGAAGATTAGCTGGAACGACAACACGATCAGCAAACATTATGCATCCATTAACGATGGATAGGGATTGGCGTCGCTGGTAAAACTGTTTTAAAACATTTGAATGAACATGTGGAGGCCAGCCAAATCGGATGAACTTTGATACTTGCTGTAAAACTGGATCACGCAGTGTGTGTCTGGCAACCTCAACTGCAGTCACCGGAAGATCGTCCAGAGAGATAGACATTATAATTGGGTTGTAATTAACACAGTCAAAAATGTTATATAGTTGCGCTGAACAGAATAAAAACTGTCGTCGTTTGCTTGTTATAACTGCGATGAATTAAAGTAAATCCCGTCGCCAATTTGTTATAACTGTGGGGATTGAATGAAGACGTTTTCACCTTATTCTGTCTGCGCCTGAACTAATCTGTCTATCTGCTCGTCGTACCTTCCGACTTAGTAAAGCACGCAAATATCAAAAGACAAAGGCTGGACTGTGACTGTGTATTGAAGTGCAACAACGATAAAGAAAGCCATGGTATTTATACATTTTACAACAATATGGACAGCTAACAGCATTTGAAATAATTGACCTTAATAGCCAATAACAAAGTGTGTGAGAAATGATAATATGCCATATGTGCGACATTGACAGTCAGTAACAAAATGTGTGGGAATGATAATATACCATATATACAAAATTAGCAGTCACTACCAAAATGCGTGAGAATGATAATATACCATATACAAAATTAGCAGTCACTACCAAAATGCGTGAGAATGATAATATACAAAATT